GGATGGATGGCTGGCTGGCTGGCTGGCTGGATGGATGGATGGATGGATGGATGACTGGGTAGGTAGGAGGATGACTTGCTGGCAGGTTGTCAAGGGAAGCAAGATTTGTATTTTCACCAAAACTAAGTCTGCACAAAAACCAGGTGTTTTACAAGAAGGTTTTGTTCTATCTGTTTGTAGCCTTAGGTCTCAAGGACAAATATAATATAGATGAGTGAAAACAAGCATAAATATGCCCAGTTCTCATCAACTGTGCCCTACACTTACCACTCTTGTGTCTGTGACTCATCTTGATGAGGTGAGAGACCACGTCTTGTTTCAATCAACATTCTCCAACTGAGATCACTGGTGTAAGGCTGAGGTCAGGGCAGCACGAGGCCTTCCTGACACGCAAGATGGCTTTGGAATCCTGATTGGTGGTGTTTCATCAAAAGAATTACAACTCAGGGGCGCCTGGGTGGCTCAGTCAGTTAACCGTCTGCCTTGGGCTCAGGTCATGATCCCAGGGTCCAGGGATGGAGCCCCACCTCGGGCTCCTTGCTCAGCGGGGAGCCTGCTTCTCCCTCTCCCTCTGCTGCTCCCCCTGCTCATGCTCTCTCTAGCATGCTCTCTCTCTCTCAAATAAATAAAATCTTTAAAAAAAAAAGAACTACAACTCAGCTCTTCCCATAATCCAAGAAGGAAAAGACACAGGTGAACAGCCAGCTCTATGTTCACTGCAGCTTTGTGCTGTGTAATTTCTGCAATCACTTAGCCCTTCTGAGTTCCACGTTTCCCTTCATGAGATGAAGGGATTGGACCCTCCTAGCTCCAAAATGTTCTGATCTTCTGAAAATCCCTGACATTTCTTTTAAAATATGGACATGGAACTTCGAAAGAATGTGTATTAAATTCCTTCCCCATCTATCTCTCAAGAGTTTCCTTAAACCCTTTCTTCTTTTTTTTTTTTTTCTTCTTAAGCAAGCAAGCGTTTAATAGTGGTCAAAGCAAAAGTATCCTTTCGCGGTGGGAGAGCGCACCTTGGTGGGAGGGCTCAGGGGTGGCAACTGCCTCCTTAAACCCTGTCAAAGCAAGTGCATGTATATGTCAATATGTCTGTTGATCCTACCCCCGGGGGAAGCAATAAGCTTTGGAGACAGACAGATCTCAGCTCTAGACCTTGTGTGAGAAATTGTGGATACCTAGATGGTTAAGATTTAGGTACTACCCCCAGGATCTGGTAGACAGACATTGAGGTGGATAAACCTCAATAACCATAGTAATTAAGACATAAAAACGGTGGCCCCTGGGGGCACCTGGGTGGCTCAGATGGTTAAGCATCTGCCTTCGGCTCAGGTCATGATCCCAGGGTCCTGGGATCGAGTCCTGCATCGGGCTCCCTGCTAGGCGGGGAGCCTGCTTCTCCCTCTGCCCCTGCCTCTCTCTCTCTCTCTCTCTCTCTCTCTCTCTCTCTCTCTGACTCTCATGAATAAATAAATAAAACATTTAAAAACATATTAAAATAAAAAAATTAAAAAACAAAAAATGGTGGCCCCTGGGGCACCTGGGTGGCTCAGTCAGTGAAGCGTTCAGACTTTTGGTTTTGGCTCAGGTCATGATCTCAGGGTCTTGGAGTCAAGCCCCAAGTGGGGCTCTGTGCTCAGCCTGGAGTCTGCTAGAGTTGCCCTCTGCCTCTGCCCGGCCCCAGCCAATCCGCGCGCGTGTGCGCACACGCTCTCTCTCAAAATAAATAAAATATTTTTTAAAATAGTTACATTTTATGTTTACGTTCATCTTTTATGTGTGGCAGGTGCCACTGGTTTTCATTATAATTTAGTTATAAAGCATCCTTTTAAATAAAGTTTTATTTTTTTTCTTTTCAACTTTTTATTTAAATTCTTGTTAGTTAACATACAGTGCGATATTGGTTTCTGGAGTAGATTTCCATGATTCATTACTTACGTACAACACCGGTGCTCATCATAACATGTGCCCCCCTTAATATCCAATCACCAATCTAGCCCATCCCCCACCCCCCAACAACCCTCAGTTTGTTCTCTATCAGTAAGAGTCTTTTATGATTTGTTTCCCTCTCTCTTTTTCTTTTCCCTTCCCATATGTTCATCTGCTTTGTTTCTTATATTCCACATATGAGTGAAATTATATGGTATTTGTCTTTCTCTGACTTATTTCACTTAGCACAATACCCTCTAGCTCCATCCGCATCGTTGCAAATGGCAAGATTTTGTTCTTTTTGATGGCTGAGTAATATTCCATTGTGTATATATACACCACATCTTCTTTATCCATTCACCAGTCGATGGACATTTGGGTAAAGAGATAAAAAGTGACTCAATTTAGAGCAAAATATTTATTAAGTAAACATACAGATGGCACATGGGTATTGAAAAATTGTGTATGGGGAGTACGCAAATGACTGAAATGCAAGAAACACTGCGCTTTAGCATCTAAGCATTCATCTTATTCAGAGATGAGATGCAAGTCATAAAAAGTCACTCAAATAGGCTTAAGCAAAATAAGAGAATGCATCCTGATGAGGGAATCTCATAGGACCCAAAGGAAGGAATGCAGATGTTGGGCTTTGAGACGGTCTGGCCCGGAGGAAGAGGGCAGCAGGCCCTGGAAGCACTTGCCCTCCTCTCTCCAGACTTCTGGTCTCCCTCTGGTCTCTGCTTTGCTCTGCACATTTCCATCTTCTCTCTGAGCAGGTCACCCACCTTCCCCTGCCCCACTTCATACACATAGAGGAGCACACACACACACACACACACACACACAGTCACAACTCCAGACTTGTATGTCTTCAGGTTAGTGACCTGCAGAGCCTGAAATAGCACCTCTGAATCTGGCTGCTTATTCCTGAGAGAGAGAACCGGACTGGCCCACCTAGAGCCAGATGCCTGCATCTCATCCGTTCAGCTCTTATCAGAGGATCAAGGGGAACACATTCTCAGAAAAAGGGAGAATCTGGGATGAGCAATCACCCTGACCAAGAGGTATCTGCCTCAGCATTCGCCGCTCCTAACAACCTTATGAGGTAGGAAATTCAGCTCACAGTCCCTCGGTAGGAAGTGACAAAGCTAAGACTTGAACCTGGGTCTGTGTGACACCAAAGCTCAAAGTCTGCTGCGGTTTCCACCTAGTCACCATCAGCTGAGTTCAGCCCACAGCTACCATCCCAGACCCAAGCAGGTTACTGGCCCATGGGGAAGCATTTATCAAAATCAGCCCAGTAGATAGGAAACAAGGAAACAAACAGTACAGGGATTGTGGCTGGAAGGGAGGAAGTTGTCTCAGAAGGACCACAGGGCTCCAGGGTAGTCTCCTCCAAGCCCCTGGGTCTGTGGCTGCCAGAGTCACACTGCAGGTGCTCAGGGTGTGAGAGGAAGCTCATCTGAATATATTTGCCTAAAATCACAAGGATGCATCTAGAGATCTTCAAGAGAAGGTGACACCTCTTTTCTGCACCCAAAACTCAAAGTGCCTGCTGGCCCTTGGGATTATAACAGCTCCTCTCACTTTCTGGAAGCTAAATTAGGAGGGCTCCCCACCCGCCCCCCACACCTCCCTGCCCCAGAAAGCTAGGTGGTAGATGAGACCTGACAGGCTCCTCTCACTCTGGAGGCCTCACCCACACACAGGTACTTCTCCACCCAAGTGCCCTTTCTCATGAAACCTCTGAGCGTCATGGTGCCGCGGATGCCCCCAATTTGGCTTTGAGGGGCCTCTGCCCACCCACAGTGGGGAGCTGCCCCGCGGGAGGTAATTCACCAGGATCCACTGTTGAGACAGATGGATGTGGCAGTTGTGTCTCTCCCGGTCCCCCAGAGCTGACCCAAGGCCTATGCGGAGAGACACATTTGCCTCAGGAGACAATCTCCCCATCCTAGCTTTTGACCCGAGCATGTCTTATCCCCTCTGGCACCATTCAGGACAGGTTGTTGGATGAGTGGGAAAAGGTTCCACTGAGCCACGTCCCCTAAGAAGTGTCACAAAGATCTTGTGCCTCGAAATGGAGACAAGATGGCACGATCCTAGCTCAAAAGTCTCCCCCAGAGACACCACCACACAACCAGGGGAGGATCTCTTTCCCAAAACCCTCTTCTCTGCCTTTATAGTAGCAAAGGTCGTTGTTGTCCAAAACTTCAGGCCATACTGGCTCAGGGCAGCTGCCTTGGTAGGGTAAACAGGGTGGCTCGGAGTCTACCCCCAAGGTCTGCCCTGGGCCCTGACATTCCCTGCAGAGCTATCAGACTCAGGTATTCCGGATGAAGTTGCCAGCCAAGGTTATTATGCGTGTGCCCCAAGGTGGCTGATGAAGCACATTCAAGTCCTGGATTTCCCAGCAGTCTGGCCTGGCCATCACCCCCACCTTGGTGAAGTAGCCTCCATACTTAAAGAGCCACTTGTGCCCAGGGAGGAGATGCCCAGACCACAGCAGAGACCCCTTCATCCCCCAGGTCAGTCTGTGATGTCCATGGAGGAGAAGGCTCTGGGCCTGGCCCCAACAATCAGGGACTACTTTTTGAGGAAATGGACAGGGAGGTGGTTGAGCGGCATGACCACTTCAGTGCCAGTCTCCGAGGTGGCCCGGGAGCATTTCTGGCTGCTGCGCATGCTATAGAACTTCTCAGTGAGGTGCTTGCGAAACTTCTTGGTGAGGAAACAGTAGATGATGGGGTCTAAAACGCAATTGGTGCTAAGAAGGCAGAGAGTGACCTGATGGGCGTCGTTGATGGCCTGGTGGAAGCTGCTGTTCTGGAAGCCCAGCTCAGCCAGGGTCCAGGGCAGCTGCACAATGTGGTGGGGCACAAAGCATATGATGAACACAGCCAAGACCGTGCAGACCATCCACAGCGCGCGGTGCTTGACTTCTGCGTTGTGCTGCAGCTGCACCGGCTGCATGAGCAGCCTGCGGATGATGATCAGGTTGCAGAAGAAGATGATGAGAAATACAAGGAAGAAGCTGAACACAAGGAAGACGTGGATGATGAGGACAGGCATGCTGCCCTTCTCGTAATGCTCAAAGCAACGTGTGATGTTGCCTGAGCCAGTCTTGTTGGGCACCACATTGGTGGAGTCCAGGATGAAGAAGTAGGATGCCGCAGCCACAATGGCCACCCAGATGATCAGGGACACGGAGAAACCACGCTTGCGGGTGGTGTCCTGAGCTGTCTTGATGGGCTGGGTCACTGCCTGGAAACGGTTGTAAGTGATGACAGCCAGGAAGGCCACTGAGCAGTAGGTGTTGATGAAGAAGAAGCAGCCAGCCAGGTTGCACAGGAATTCGGGGAGAATCCAGTTGCCCTGGTTGTGGTAGTAGACGATCCACAGGGGCAGAGTGACCAAGAAGAGCAGGTCAGCCACGGTGAGGTTCACCATGAAGATCTTTATCTCGTTGAGTTTCTTGGAAGGGTACAGGCAGGAAAAGACCCATAGCACATAGCTGTTGGCGATGACGCCCAGCACAAAGATGATGCTGTAAACAATCGGGAAGAGGGTGTATCGGAACTCAGAGTCCACACGAGAGGAATTATTTGCCCCTGTCGCCATGGTTGGCAGGGGCAGCTGGTGGTAGAATCCTGCCACGCCTGGAAGACCACACAGGAATTCTGGTTAATGAAGGGTCAAAAAGGGCCTGTCTTATTAATCAATTCCAAGACTCTCATTTTGCACATTTTAAAAACTCTAAAATCAGCGGTATCTTCCAATTAATTGGCAGTATTTTTTTCTACATAAAATAATGGTGTATTTTTAAAAAGAACAGCATCTGAGAGTCAATGAAATCAATGGCAATTCGGTTTCTTTTCTCTTCTTCCATTTTAAAACATACCTTTTCATTCTGTGGCTTATTTTGATGTAAGTTTTAAATAATCTATTTCTGATGAGAAAATATATGAAAATTTATATTATAAAATTTTTAACTTTCTAACAACTTTTAAATATTTTTCTATTGATGAAATTTGAAATGTAAATTTTGATGGTGGGTGTTCTATATTAAAAAATAATTGGGCACCTGGGTGGCTCAGTTGTCAAGTGTCTGCCTTTGGCTCAGGTCATGATCCCAGGGTCCTGAGATCGAGCCCCGCATTGGGCTCTCTGCTCCGCGGGGAGCCTGCTTCTCCCTCTCCCACTCCCTCTGCTTGTGTTCCCTCTCTCGCTGTCTCTCTGTCAAATAAATAAATAAACTCTTTTAAAAAAAATAATTGTGGGTGATGCCTGGGTGGCTCAGTTGGTTAAGTGTCTGCCTTCAGCTCAGGTCATGATCCCAGGGTCCTGGGATTGAGTCCCACATCAAACTCCTTGCTTGGTGGGGAGTCTGCTTCTCCCTCAGCCCCTCCACCTGCTTGTGCACTCACTCACTCTCTAACAAATAAATAAATAAAATCTTAAAAAAATAAAAAATAATTTATAGGGGTGCCTGGTTGGCTTAGTAGGTAGAGTATGTGACTTTTGATCTCGGGGTCAGTGGGTTCAAGCCCCACATTGGGAGTAGACTTTACTTAAAATAATAATAATTATATTATATTATTATTAAAAGTAAATTTATTATTATTTTTGTGCTCATACAAAATCTGGAAAATACAGAGAATTATATTAGGGTGACCCAAAGATGAAATACTAGCCAGTCATTAGAGAGAATGAGATATATCTGATTGTACTGATGTTGACAGTTGTCCCTGGATAATATTGTTAAGTAAAACAAAATTTTAAAAATCTGTGTGTCCCCATTATATATGTGTATATGACATCTAGAAAGTGATCTAGAAGGATATAGCTTCAAGAATAGACAGTGATAAGTAACCTTTGGGAAGGTGAGATGGGTTTGTTGGGAGGTTTACCTATTTATGCTTCCTTTGTTTGAACTTTTTAGAAGCATTTATTGCTTTAGTAATTAAAATAAAAAAATTAATGAAAAGAAAAATATAGGGGCACCTGGCTGGCTCAGTTAGTGGAGTATGCAATTCTTGATCTCAGGGTTGTAAGTTTGAGCCCCATGTTGGGTATAGTGATTACTTAAAAATAAAATCTTTTAAAAAAAAAAAAGAAAAAGATGAAGAAAAGTATACAGTGGAGAAACCCAGTAGACAACACTTTAATCAAATGATTAAGATGCACTCATCATTAGTAAGACATATAGCAATATCAGGTACCTTTGATTTGAAGCACTGAAAAGACTATAACATCATTTCTGTGGTTTTCTTTCCAGAACTGCATAATCTCAATTTAGTCATGAGAAAACATCAGACAGACCCAAATTGTGAGACATTATACAAAATGATCAAAAATGTCAAGGTCATGAGGAAAGACTGAGGAACTGCCATAGATCAGAGGATATTAAGGAAACGTATGACAACTAAATAAATGTGGGATTCTGGATTGTATCCAAGAACAAAAAAAGATCATTTAGTGGAAAAATTGGTGAAGTTCAAATAAGGTCTATAATTAAAATAATATATCAATGTTCATTTCCTGGTTTTGATCATTGTATTATGTTTTTGTAAATTGTTAACATTAGGGAATGTGGAGCAAAGGGCACACATGCACTCTTTGTACTATTTTGCAACTTTTTTGAAGGCCTAAAATTATTTCAAAACAAAAAGCCTTTCTTGGTTTTAGGATCGTGCTATGGCTATGTCACCACTGGAGGGCTCAATAAACTCTATGTTCTATTTTTACAACTTCTTGTGAGTCTACAATCATTTCCAAATAAACAGTTAAAAAAGCAAAAAAAAAAAGTATATTAAAGGGGTGCCTGGGTGTCTCAGTCAGTTAAGCATCCGACTCTTGGTTTCAGCTCAGGTCATGATCTCAGGGTCATGAGATCAAGCTGCGTGTGGGGCTCAGTGCTGGACATCCCTCTCTCTCTCCTTCTGCCCCTCCCCCGCTCATGTGCGTGTTCTCGTTCTCGCGCGCGCGCGCAAAAATTAATTTTAATTAACTAAAAAAAAGAAAGATTTTCCTTCTCCCTTTGCCCCTCCCCACCACCACTCGCTCTTTCTCTCAAAAAAAAAAAAAAAGAAAAAAAGAAAAAGAAAAAGTATGTTAAAGAAGATGAAATTAACCCTAATCCCACTACCCACAGTCGGGTCCGTTTTCAACAGCATCTTCACCACCATCCACTCTCCACCAGAACCAATTGCTCCCTCCTCTCTTGTTCCTCGAACTCTGTTGCCAGCACATGAGCCTGGAAACCCCACTGATGTTTGTGTTGCAGCTGGCGGCGGGGGTGGGTTGATGGGAGGGCAGGAGACCCAGATGGAGTTGATCAAGGCCCCAGACTCATCATACATCCCAGAACAGTGAAAAGAGAACAGAATTGGGAGTAAGACGCTCCTTCGGAGCCAGGTGCTTTCCCGTGTACTATCTCATTTCAGTCTCACAAAAGCCCTCTGAGATAGGAAGTAAAACCCCATTTTACAGAATAGAAAACAATCTAAAGTGTATATGTGATGGTTCAAGGTCACACAGCTGTTAAAGGATGGAGCCAGAGTCTCAAATCCAGCTCTGGGTGCATTTGTTCATTCACACATTCCGCCAACAAATACTTCTAAGCACCAACTGCATGTCCAGCCCACAGGAGAGACAGGGCGGGCGTGACTGCACAGGTCTGCACTCGGGGAACTGACAGGCTCGTGGGGCAGACGGACAAAAGCAGTGTAAACAAACAGAGTTGCTATACAAAGAAAAGGAGGTGCTGATGCAGAGAATACAAAAAGTTATACTTAGAAAAGAGGTGACATTTCCTTTGAGACCTGAGAGAGAAGAATATTCCAGGCAGAGGGATCTGCATGGGTCCAGGACTGAGGCAGGAAGGAGCAGGGTAGGTTGTAGGAACTGAGAAAAGGACCACCGATGGCCCTCACCCTGACCTCTAGCTGCCATTCCATCCTCTCCTCCTGCTATCTTCCCACCAGGGTCCGGTCAAAACGGAGCTCCCCGTGGGTCTTCAAACATGCTCAGACCTTTCCTGCCTCTGCCTGCAAGCATAACACCCATGCCAACGCTTCGAACCCTCCTCCCTAACCACACCCCACTTCCACCCGGCCATTCTAACTCGTGCTTCAGACCTTACCTGAATTTTACTTCTTCAGAGAGATCTTCACCAGGCCAAGTCAGGTCCTGTCTCAAAGGCCCCTGTACTTCTTTGTAAATCCTAAAGCATTGTGATCATATTCGCGTTTGTGTGATTCATAACACTCTCCCAGTTGACTGAGCACCAGGAGAAGAAGGGCCTTGTCTGTCTATTCAACACTATTCCCAGCACCATGAACCAGTAAAGGAGTGGGTGATAAGCCTCGTCGATTACAACCATCTCTGGGAGCTCTGGAGCAGTGGAAACACTTGAAGAAGTCTCTAGATACTTACAGGTGAGTTTAAAGAACCAACTTGCTCTAAAACCAGAAAGAGACCCATAAATAAAGGGAACAAGCCATGGTTGCCAGAGGGGTGGGAGGTGGGGGGATGGGGAAAATAGGTGAAGGGGGGTGGGAGGTACAGTCTTCCAGTCATGGAATGAATAAGTCACAGGGATCAAAGGCACAGCACAGGGAATATAGTCAATGGGACTAGAATAGTGTTGTAGGGTGACAGATGGGAGCTACACTTACTGGTGAGCACCGCGAAACACAGTTGTCAAATCACTATGTTGGAAACGCAAAACTAATGAAACGTGAAACACAGTTGTCCAGTCACTATGTTGGAAACGCAAAACTAATGAAACATTGTATATCAATTATACTTCAACTGAAAAAAAAAGAAACAACTGGCTCTAACTGGAATTTTGGTGATTGAGAAAAATTTTGTGCTTTGCCCCATTTAGTGTGGTGGTGGTTTGTCTATGCTAAATTAAATAAATATAGGTTTAATTATTCTAATAAATAATTGTGATCCCTTTATTTTTTTTTTAAGATTTTATTTATTTGGGCGCCTGGGTGGCTCAGTCAGTTAAGCGACTGCCTTCGGCTCAGGTCATGATCCTGGAGTCCCGGGATCGAGTCCCACATCGGGCTCCCTGCTCAGCGAGGGGCCTGCTTCTCCCTCTGACCCTCCCCCCCTCTCATGTACTCTCTCTCTCATTCTCACTCTCTCAAAATAAATAAATAAATCTTTAAAAAAAAAAAGATTTTATTTATTTGACAGAGAGAGACACAGCGAGAGAGGGAACACAAGCAGGGGGAGTGGGAGAGGGAGAAGCAGGCTTCCCGCAGAGCAGGGAGCCCCATGTGGGGCTCGATCCCAGGACCCTGGGATCACGACCTGAGCCGAAGACAGACGCTTAACGACTGAGCCACCCAGGCATCACCAATTGTGATTCCTTTAAAACAAAAAACTCAGCCTCAAGTCACATTGTGAATTACATAGTTGATTTGAATTACATAGTTTTAGGTTGCTTCCCCAGAAGCGAAATTGCTAACTTTTACTCGGCTGGGATCTTTTCCACACCTAAACGTGGTCCTGCCATCTGATCCCAAGACTCTAGGATAATACTTCTCAAAGGGTGGTCCACAGAAATGAGGGAGGAGAAAGGAATATCTCTGAGAACTTTCAGTGGACCCATGAGGTCAAAACTATTGGGGGCGCCTGGTGG